TGGAGCGCAACTTGGAGGCGTATTTTAATCACGTCGGCTTCAAACCGCCCTACCCGGCACCTCAGTGAGGATGCCGATTCTACACAGATGTTCAGTGTGACCAGGGGAGTTCCTCACTTCTCTTGTTTATTATTATTCGTTTATTTTAGTTGAACATCTGGTTCTGCCATTGAGGACAATGTCTGTTCTTAAGTGTAAGGTGGGGTTACTTGTTGAATATGCGTTGCATTTCTCGTGCTAATATTTGGAGGCTTATGTTCTTACGCATTGAGTTGTTTTCTTTGTGTCTCTCACGGTTATTCTTGATTCATTTGGTGCCAATCCGGTGAAAATTGGTTTTATTTGCATGCAAAAATGATTTTTGAGTCCTTGTTGCTACTTAGTGATTGATTATTCTTGATGATTAATTGACGGATGAATGCATGTGATTCGACACATATTACCTTACTTTTGGTGAGATTTGAGCCTATGAGCATACATTGAATATCATGCTCCATTTCCTTGATTGTGTGTTGTCATGACTAGTCGGTTTTTCTAGAACTTGCATTATTATACATGTCTTTGTTTATCTTTGATGAATTTGGATGCTCGATATCTTAATAAGGGTATTAGGATTAGCCCTTTGTTTTTAGCCTTTTTCTTGGTAGCCTACCTTTTACATAGACCCCTAGTGAGCCAAGTTTGAGCCTTAGCCTTTTCTTTCGATTTAGCCACGTTACAAGCCACAATATCCTTTTTGTTGATACCCTCTTTTGAACCTTGAATTGAAGCAATTATATTAATTCTTCGTATTGATGATGAGCTTATGTGCTTAGAATTGACTGTGGTTTGTTTGAGGTTTAGTTATCTAGCATCTACTAGAAAAAAATAAAAAAAAAATGGAGATAATGACAATTAAGAGAATTGTGCTATGTTATGCTTACGTTAGATACATTTTGTGAAGTTAAACAGTTAAAATGGTTTCTTTTGGGATGTGCTCCATTTGTGAAGAGTTATTATGATTGCTTTGATTCTCTTAGCCTAAAATGTCCTTTTATCCCACCTTACCTAAGCCCCATTACAACCCATTTAAACCCTTCGATATTGTGTATTCATATTGATTCTTGGGTGGATGAGCGTGATATATTTGCAAGCTTATGGTAAAATCCTTCATTGTCTTGACTTGAGCGTACACTCATATGAGAAAGAGTGATAGTGAAAGAAATAAGAATTATCTTACACCATTTGATTCATAATATCAATGGTCATGATGAAATCAAAATTAAATATTCTAGTCAAACACAGTAGCAAAATTGTAAATAAGTAGCATCTTGTGGTTAAATCTATACAAGTCCAATTTTGTAATTTCGTCACCAAGTAGTGGGTTTCACCACAAAAAATCACTCTCATACTAACACACACACAGTCGACACACAAACACACACACACACACTGCACACACCAGAGCCGGTCCTGACATTATTTGGCCCTAGGCCAAATGCAAAAGTAGTTCCTTAATTATTTTATACACATATATATAAACTAGAGTATTTATATAATATCGACAATGCCCAAATAATTATTTTGCTAGACATATTAATTTGTATATTTTCTTATGTAAGGCACAACCTCACAATTCATCACATATATAAAGATAAAGGTTATTGACTAATATAAAGTTAAAGGTTATTGACGCACTTTCATCTTCTAGTAGATAATACTTAATGCCTCAATATAAATTTCATGCGCATCAAATAACTAATTAGTGATAAAAATATAGTAATAGTAAAATCGCTTACAAAGTTTCTTTAGATTTTTTAGCGAAATAATTATCAATTATATTACCATAATCAAAATTTCATGTATCCTTCTATTGCATAAATTAATTTGTTGCTAAATTTGATATGATTCACTTTTTTAAGTGGTTTTGATATGTTATAAGAATGGTTTGTTTTGTAGTTCAAACATGATGATATGTTAACTAAAAATTATCTATATCTATATATATATAATTGCTAGCCTTTCATTTAATTTTACCTCATAAATAAAACCTAATAAATTTTACCTAATAAATAATACAAACTTTTCAAATACAAAAACCGTTACTTTTACAAAATACATCAATTTTGGACCGTTACAAAATCTAAACTAATGACCACTATTTTATCTAAATATATCAATTTAGGTTAATTAGTTAAAAATGTTTACTTTTTTAATTTCTTATATAATCATTACTATGCTAACTTAATTATGAATTAATTATTATAGAGACTCATGATTACATAAGCATGTATTCAGAATATAAATTTTTAAAAGAACTTTTTACAAATGTTTATTTGAAATATCTATTGTTTTTTATGATATCACTACAATAATTAATCATGGTGAAAATAGAAAATGCAGCACATATACAACATGGACAAACACACTAACAACAATACAAAATAATTTCACCAGCTCTGAAAATTGTATCATATAATAGTTATTATTACAATTAATAATTATATTTTACACTAAATGATATGTGAAAGTTAAATAAACATAAGAAACTATATTGTAAAAACTTTTTGTTCGAGTAATTTATTATAAAATCAATATAATATTTCTTTATCTGCTTAAGCGATTAGTTTTTAAATAAATTAATTTATTTTAATGGCATAGTAAAATTCTTTAAAATTGCATAAGCAATTGTTATAATAAATTTAATATTTTTTAGCTAATTAATTAGTCATAGTCCCTTAAAATTTCAAAAAATACATTATTTATTTTATTTTATGCAATCAATATAGTGATTCATATACAATCAAATCGTTATGTAATATTTATTTTAACCAATGATCAAATTTTAAAATGTAAATTCTGTATTTAACTTATAATTTTAATATTATATACATAAATATAACTTCTAATACCCTATGTTTAAAATATAATATCATTATCTAACTTATAATTTTAATATTATATGCATACAAATAACTTATAATACTTCATTTACATCTGTGCAAATGCACAGAATCGAATACTAGTATATATAATTGCTAGCTTAGCAATAAATTTTATCTAATGAATAAAACCTAATAAATTTTACCTATGTGGCAAATCATTAAATAAAACCTAATAAATAAAACCTAATAAATTCTACTTATGACATTAATACACTCTATCTCATTAATAATAAAATATTTCATTCCACTTTTTGTGGTTAATTAAACTATTATATTTTATGTTAATTGAGTAATAATTATATTTCTTAGTGAATCATATAATAGTTTTATGGAATCATATAATAGTTAATATTAAAATTAGTAATTGTATTTTACACTAAATGATATATGAAAGTTACATAAAATTATTTTACACTCAAAATCAATTTTATATTTTTTAATATTATTAAGCAATTTTTTTTAAATAAATTAATTTATTTTATGTCACAATAAAATTTCTTAAACTCATATAAGTAATTGTTATAATAAATTTAATTTTTTCAGCTGATTAATTGGTCAAGATCATTCAAATTACAAAAAATATAAGTTTTTACTACGTATGCAATTAATATAGTGATTCGTATGCAATCAAATCGTATGTACTATTTATTTTAACCAATGATCAAATTTTAAAATTTAATACTATTATCTAATTTATATTTTAATATTATATGCATAAATATAACTTATAATACTATATGTTTGAAATATAATTCTATTATTTAACTTATAATTTTAATATTATATGCTTACAAATAACTTATAATATTTAATTTTATCTACATCTGTGCAAATGCACAAGGTCAAATACTAGTTAGTAAGTAAAACTATAATTAAACTTTATCAAGATTATCTTAAATACATAAAATGATATAAATATATTATAGTATTAATTATTATTGATCTTTAGTTAGTTTATCCTACGTTTGAGCTATAAAAAAAATAGTTCTCACAACACATAACTAAAAAAGAGTAAAGCATATAAGAATTACAGATAAACCATAAATAGCTACAAAATAAATATTAAATATATTTAAATTTTTATGAAACAACCTTAAACCATGTTGAAAGTAATTTTAAGAAGTTAATTAAATATAATCTATAAATTAATTATAATAACCCATCAACAAATAATAAAAATTATTTAATTAAGTTAAAAAAAAAAAGACGGATAAATAAATGATAGACATAAAAAACGGGTGGGTGGTTTTGGTGTGTGTGACAAAAATATACTATAGGAAAGAGAAAAAGTCAACTTGTGGGGTAGTATGCTAAAGAATACAAATAATAAATCTTTGTGTCCACTTTTTTAGTTCATGGAAACAAATAAGACCAACATATATATATGCAGAGTATAACATATGGGCTGGTGCCTGGTGCTCCTCCAACGAAATGGGCCCTGGGCCGTAGCCCAGGTAGCCCTGCCCTAGGGCTGGCCCTGGCACATACACACTCACCCTCACACAAACACACACAAATAATACATAGTTTCTTTCACACAAATAATATAAATTGTTACCGGCTATATTTTCGTCTGTAACGTTAGAATCCCATTTGGAATTGAGTTTGACATCAAGGAGGGAACTCTAATATTTTTTTTTTCAATAATTGTGCAAGACCAAATGTACAGAATTTTCAAGAGAGTTCGAACTATAAATTTTTTGGTTATTTGACTCATGGTAAATATATTTAAAATTGTTAAAATTGTAAATAGATCCATAGACATAATCTAATTCTCAAAAAAAGAGGCCCAATCCCACAATCCAATTTCAGATTCCATCTTGCCCGTATCACCACCTCCCAAATTCATCTTCATCCTCCACCACCCCACCCGTCGTCGCCCAGCCCTCCCGGTCGCGACATCCGACGTCCATGGGCAGCGAAATTTTTGTTCGTCTTGAAACTTCTCCCGCCGCGCCCTTTGCTCCGTTGCCAACTTCCCACTGGTGGGTAAAATCGAAGACGACCTGTGCGAGCTTCGCGACATCTGACGGCGGGTTCCCGATGGCAGCGACCTGTTGGCGGAGTATATCAGAGATGGCTGCAACTGATGGAGTTGCGGCGGCCCTTCAGGTACATTGGCGGCAGGAGGCGGTCGACGGTGGAGGAGCTATCAGACCTATTGGCGGCTGGAGGCGTTCGACGGTGGAGGTGCTCTCAGACTGTTGCCAGCGTGGATGACAGTCGGTGGCAGCGGCAGAGACTGGCTGATGGCGGCTGAGACACATCATGTGCGTGTGTGTGTTTGTGTGTGAGTAATGTGTGTAAAGAGTGTGTGAGTGTTTGTGTGTGGTGTGTGCTGATGTGTGTGTGTGTGTGTATGTGTTGTGTTGTGTGTGTGTGCGTGCGTGTGTTATGTGTGTGTTATGGCTACAAATTAAAATCGGTTTTAACTGATTGGATAATTTTTTTACGCTCTTTAAATCAAAATTCAACTCAGTTTTAATCCAATCAACTCTCCTTAATTTTATCACTGTAATCAAATAATATCAATCAACCATTCTCACACACCATATCAATTTTAATTCATTATTTATCTACTCACATATTTTTAACTACCTGTCACTCCAATAATATCTCTCATACTTTTACATCACACCAACTTTAATCATTACATTTTAAATATTATTTAAATACAAACTGAAAATCTCACTCAATCACGCACTCAATCGACTTTATTTAAAATTATCTTACTTTATCTCAAAATCCAATCAAAAGCGAATTTGATATATATCCAATAAGTGTTTGAAATGAGAAATATACATAAAAAAAATGGTTTACAAAAATAAACAAAAAAATTGAATACTATCTTTGGAAACTATACTATTAATTTTATTTTGACATGGCACACACGACTTTCTACAATAATTTTTAATTATATTAACGCGTGTGTTGAATTTGTTTTTTGAATTTTGTTTTTCTAGCCCATATAATATAGTATTTGTAAGAAAATTGAATTTGGTTAATCAAAAATAATATTTATTTGCCATTTTTGTGTTTCTTGAAACAGGTAACATGAAATTAATGTTTCATATTAACTTTTCATATCTTAGTTATTCTTTTATTATGTACTTAGAATTAATTATCTTCAACTTGTAGAAAAAGCAAAGATATTTGAGTTTTATTAGGAGATATCAGCAGAGCAAATTTGAGGAGCAGCGCACAGATTGAGAGAGGTACAACAATACCCCCACAAAAGAAAATTAGACGAAAACAAAAGCGCACGACGCGGAGGAGGCCGCACGGGATAATTTCATTTTATTCTCTTTCTTTTCATATTTATTATGTTAGGCTAGTTATTTTATTTCTAATTTCAGAGACGTCGAACCCTACGCACTCGACAATGTATTATTGATTATAGTGAGTGTTTGTTTTGCAAATAAATGTGGATTTGCTTGTGTTATTTTCTCTGAGAAAACATGATATGTTTAATCTTACTTAGGCTGGTCTGTGAGATATGAGTTTTTATGTTTAATGCTAGAATTGAACTTACAACCGGCAATTATTGTTGAGTTTGATTCGTTCGTAGCAAACTATTTCCGAAAGTTGAGAATAACACAACCTAATTAAGTATGAATCTACAACTTAGACTAGTCTATTTTCCTAGATCTCAAAGCTGCTACTGCATTAAATCTAGAGAGCATATTCTAGATTGTCCAAAATATACTGTATGTAAAATTTGGGTAACAGAACATGTTATTATCTAAGGCTAGTAATTTTGAAAGGTAGTGAAACTCAACGTTAATTTATTAGACTAGTCGAGCGATGACGGCTTAGACTAAATCGTGAACTACAATTTCTCTTAATTTGTTAAATTTATTTTATTTTCTTTGTATAGATTTTTAATCTATTTTGTTTTATTGGGATTTTAATTAATTTAGTTATTAAATCACAAAACCCCTTGTTATTACTTTCATAAATTTTAATTAATACGAAAAATTCAGGATTTGATTCACACTCCCCGTGAGATCGATATTTAATTACAACTACTACAATTTAAATATACATACGTAACACAATGTCACCCATACACTAAGGTCATCATATTTCCATGTACTATGGACGCGTCGACAACAAGGAAGACAAACGTTTTCAACTCGTTATCTTTTTGCCAAATAAATTTGCAATTTCCGAATTCCCAATCATTAAGCTCTAAAAAGCCCGCTTTTCGTGGGATTAGATTTCATGTTCCCTTCTTATGTTCCACTGCATGTGTTACTCCACGGAACGTGTACGAATGTCACATTGTCGTGTACACATTGTCGTGTACACGTATCATATATCCAATGACATGGATTATAAATGTCACATTTTCGATTACATGTATCATATACCCAAGGCATGGATTATGAAGTGGAATACAAAAGTGAAACGGAAAATCTCAACACTTTTCATCTATCATTTATGTGCTTACTGTATGTACTGTTTTGATTTAAGATTTTCACTTGCATAATAAATAAATAAATATTTATGACAAAAATTAAAATCAACAGAGGTTTTAAATGAATTTATTTATGGATAAACGCACAAAAAGAAATCAAGGTAGGCAATGGCTATATTGTGAACGCCAATTTATTCATTTTTCTATTTTCAGTGAAACTCAATCCATTTCAATCAGAAGTCTAAAAATAAAAACTCTGAAATCGTGCAACTGCCATGACTAAAACTCATGGCATGGCACACATCACATTTAATGTTTTGGCATCACTATCCTATAAAAAAGACCCAAGCTTAAAACTTTCACACTCCAATCATTGGACGTGCCTAAGAAAGCAAAAACCTCGGGCTTAATCTGCAATCACCCTAAACCAAAAATGAAACTTTGGAAACAATAAAGGATAAGTTAGTTTGGGCAGAGCACAAGCTCTTGTAAACCATGTCTGCTCGGCTTTTGGCAGGGCCCGGCCACCGAGAAGCCTAGGATGAGCACAGGCTTCGGGATGAAAAAGCCCGAGCATTTTTTCTGTTAATACTTAATATAGAATGTAACCATTGTACATGCAGTTAAATATTTTCTTCACGTTTTTTCTTGTGGAAAACCCCAACACACTTCTCTTCAATATGCGTGAACTCATGTTCATGACTTAGTGTAAGATGTCTCAGTTGGACTGAGATACAAATAATTCCAATCCAAAATTAATATTTCAACTTCTTCAGGTTCTAGAGACCCAGTATGTACACACTGGATAAATGGAAAAATGTTTCCTTAAAACAAAGATCAATTGGCATAACTAAGTAATTAAAGATTGTGTTTCCTTCAGCAAATGATCCATCCATAAGTCTTGTAATAGTTAACCATTGTATTATCTGACGACTATATACAATATGCAGAGTTGACTTGAACAAACAGTACCTCGACGATCCACAAGCTGTCATGTAATCATCTCCAAAATTCTGCCGTAAGGTGCAAGTATCGTGAAATCGCTCATGAATTCACTGGTATCATAACCTTCTTTCTTTCAACTTCTGATAAAACTTGTGTCCTTGCAGAAGGATCCTTCCCTGGAAAAATGCATCACATAAATATTGCTGACAAACCACATGTTGATAAATGACGAGGTGCTGCAACATTTTCCTCAGTGTAAGAAGCAGCATTAATTGAAAATTTTAGTTTGTTTAAAAAGAATAAAAAGTATTAAAAAATATAAAAGAAGTAGCAGATAGAACTAAACAGATCGAGAAAACAAATAGATATGTGCAGTGCAGAAAAAAGACAAAAACGTGCCAAACAGTCTGACGATAAGTGCATCAAACGAAACATAAATTCAACCTTTTTGTTTAATTGCCAATTATTAGTGTTGCAATTTAAGTTCTTGAAATCTCTAAGGTAGGTTTGTTAGTTTTCTAGGGAACAACTTTCAATTTTTAGTTATTTCAGTTTTGTTTAATGCTTCTACTATTTGGTTTTTTTTTTAAACTTATTTTTATATTAGGGGATTTCTGTTTGACGTCAAAGAGTATGTCTCATGCAGCAAAGGTGCAAAATGTAAATGGAGGTGTGCATTTGTGTATACTAGTAAAGTGTATAGTAAAGTGTACGTGCGATGCACGCACGCGGTGGTGAATGTTCCTGGCTGATTAAGTTTCATAAAAATAATTAATTAATTTATTAAACATAGCTTTGCAAGAACGAAATAAAATGTAGAATAAATGAGCTCTTAATGTATTTTTTTTTTCAAAAATAATATAATGATGTCCGAATGAAGTAATATATTACAACCCCACAAAAATATATGAGAATTGAGTACTTAGTGGAAAAAAATAACTAAATGACTAAATAAGGGTGTGAGGTACATTATAGATGCATTAAGATTGATTTTTTCTCATTTTGGTTTTGACATTCTCATAAAATACATTTATACACATTGGAGCCCAATACATCAATAGTATTGCAAAATTCTTCTTAATTCATTTGACAAAACGTCTACTTTATTCAAACACTTGAAAATATTCTGACCAAACATATAGTCAAACTTCAATAATTGTATGATTTTTATAAGGTTTTTCTACTAACAACTCATTAATATCTTTGTGAAATAACCAACTGTGTCTATTTTGTACTTTGTTTTATCATTGTATCTCTACAAATTGGTACCTACTCCATTGAGGCATCACTTCATGGGATAAGAACGAATTTCATCTCCAAATATGAGTTGGCTTTCCAAAATTTTGGTTACACGTACTTTCTCCCGATGCTTAAAGTTATTTTTTGAAATCATCACACATTACATAAAGTACGTACTTTACAGTAATTACACATATGTTCAAGCACAATACACTAATGAGATTATAAATATTTCTATCAGAAATTGACAACTTCATTGAAAAATATTTTGATCACGCTCTAAACATTCCCTTTTCAAGTTCATTTATTTGGAAGATAGACGAACTACATAATTTTTTGTTTGAAAATCATTGATCATCTAGGTTGTTGAAATAATATATTAGAGTTGTTTATCATAATATCTTTCTCATTCGTCTGAATTTGCAATACTTATATGCTTAATAACTTATATAATATTTTATTGTCCAACTTTTTGTATCATATATATCATCGTTCAAAATGACGAAACAAACAAAACAAAACATTTAAACAATATTGAAAAACAATTCCATTGTCATGATACTTTTAGTCATCTGTGAACTTTATTATTACAAAGTCATTATTAAAATCTACATTATGTATTACAAGAGTTTATAATTTTTTAATTATTTAAAATTCAAAATTGATAATACAGGATCATTATTTATATGAGAACCAAAGTCTTACAGAGTCCATATATTTCTCTACCAACAAAAAAAGTAGTAATTAAATGACTTTTGTTTCTTTATATTGCTATTCATAGTACTCTAAGAAAATTGAAGCTTTTTATTTTCCCAATTACTATTTTATTTGTTTCTCATTATATTCATAAATAATATTTTATTTGTTGAAAGAACTATAACACATTTACATGTATTACGTCGTTTGTTCGTACGTGTTTTATATAATTCCGTTACCAAAATATCTTATTTATTAGGCTACAATAAATATAAACACATAAGATAAAAATAATAACAATATTACTTATATATTTATTAGTAATAATAACATATTTTATAAAATATTAAGTAACTAGATCATTTTCATATTCACAAAAAATATATGTTACAACCATTACAATGTTCCCTCTCAATCAGTAATTCAATAATAGTTTAGCATACAACTCATTTATTTATCCTTTTAATTCACATAGTTAACGTTCGTAATAGTTGTACATTTACATCCATTTTGTACTTTTTACTCAAACTGAAGAGTTCAAATCTATATAAGAAAAATATACCACAGGTTTATCTTATGTTATTTAATACTTAATAAAATTAATTTAACATTGATTTATAATTTATTTTATATGACACTATTAGGTCTATCTATTATTATAAATTAGTATTGATATTTATATTATTTTATATTGACAGTAGCAATTATTATAGTTTTATTTTATTTACAATATATTGGTCAAATAATAAGAAATAAAGGAAATAATGTGATGTATTACATATAAAAAGGATAACAAATAAAGTAATAATAATTAAAATATCATGATATATTTTAGTTAATTATTGAATGAAAAATTTCAAATATTTTAAACGTTAATAATACATAAAAATTTTAAATATTTTAAACGTTAATAATACATATATTACTCACCTTGGTATTAACCACCTGAATATTTGTTAACTTTATTGGATTTGGGACCAAAATTGAAAAAAACAAACAAATAAATGACAATTTTGTGGGATCAAGATTCAATCCAATCCAATCCAAAAAGATGAAGGTGCAATTTGTAATTCTAATTTTACATACACGAGTGTATTTTTCTTGAATATAGTTAAATGAATTGTTTCACTTTTCTAGTTTGTTATAATTTGTATATATTTTACGTGTGCATAATTTAGGTATATTGAAGATGTCTTCTTTCTTAATTAAAGTTAAGTACTTATCTTTGAAATTATTATTATTATATATAGTTATCCCCTCAACTAAGTTTTCATTTTTTACTAAGATTTATCGTTTTGTTAAAATTATAGATAGGTAAATAAATAGTTGAAAATATTTGAATTTTGGAGTTTTTTCAATCCAAGACCCGAAAGATATGTTAATTATCAAATCGGGATCCAAAAGATTTTTTCTTCTCAAAATGTTATAAACTATCTATATAAGTCTTAAAATTAACAGCAACTTAACCCCTATCAAGACTGTTAATTTCAAGTTTAAAACACCCAAACGGCCTAATCTACTCAACTTACAATGTACAAAGGTTTTTTTAAAAAAAATAAAAAAAACTGAACAATGT